TTTATTTTTTGTTGAACATTTTCACTTTCTTCCTTTTCTGTTTTGATGAGAAATTTAAACCTAAATTAAAGAATAAAGCTGAAGAAAAAGCACATGAGAAGAAGTTATTGGGTTTAGCAATTGAGAAACAAGGTGATAACATGGTTGCTTTATGTCCTAAATGTTATACTTCATTCAACGGTTCAATTGATGGAAGTGATTTTAAAAAGATTGCACAAAAAATGAAAGGAGTTAGTTTACGACAAAATAAACAATTAACACCTAAAAATTATTTGGATATAATAAATGATAAAGTTATTTTCGATGGTCAAAATATTAATTTACAACTTAAAAACGGGTCAATGACTCGCTTAACAATCGGTAAGACTGCATTAACAGGAGCACACACTAAGGCTGTATGTTGTGAAAATGGATGTTGTATGCCATTTATTTAATGAAATGCCACAGAAGAGACAAAGAGGTGGGCACCCTTAAACATTTATTTTATTTTTATATAAATGGATAACGTAGATTTAATAATTTTAATTGATGATTTAATATTTAATCAAAATTTTCTTAGTTATTATGATTTTAAATCATATCTCCAAAAATATGATGAAAATATAACGGGTGATGATATAGATTATTATTATCCATATTATAAAAATGAAGTTTTGAAATATCATGATAGAATAATTTCTAAAATTAAAGACAAAATTAAAAATAATGATTATAAAAAGGGAAAAAACTAAACCACAACTGAAACAGTTGAAAGATTTCAAAAATAAAGTATTAACAGAAGAAGATATTGATGAATTATATAATTTATATAATCCTGAGCCGCAAAAGCCAAAAGAGAAAGTAGCAAATGTTCAACAGCTAAAGGTGCAAAACACCCAGGTCCTTCAGACCATAAATGATGCACAAGCTTTAATTTATGATTCATTAGTTAAACCATATTCAGCCCGACTTTTAAATGAAGATCAACTTTTGGAATTCATCCTTCAACATAAACTCGAAGCGGGAAAGTATATCAAACCTTTATATACAGCATATTTAAAACAAATGAATAGAATACATCCAGAATTAATGAAAGGAAAATCAACAACTAAAACTTCATCATCCAAAATCAAAGCAGATAAAATTAAACCACTTGCAACACCAAAACCTCCAACGACAGTACCTCCTCCTCCTTCAGTTAATCCTTCATCATTCACTTTATTATATCCATTTCAAACATTAAAGAAGCAAAAAGATTTTAAAAAGGATTTCAAGATATTAAATAAACCAATTGACCCGAAAATTCAACCGTTAAAGGAAAAATTCAGTCGCCCTTCATTTGCTCCATATCCATATTCATACGAAATCGATCATCTGGAATATTCAAAAGGAAAAGTTACTTATTTATTTGCCATTAACATTAACACCAGATATTTATATTGCATTCTGGTGAAAGGGAAAACAGAACAGGAAACAAGAAGAGCTATTCAATACTTACTAGATCATGAAAGAGTAGATAATATCCGGGGTGATGGCGATAAAGGATTTCAGGCAACTATGACTCATTATTTCCCACAAATTAATTTTTACTTTTCATCCTCTCCATATACGTTTCATAATAAAATAATTGATGCGGTAATGAGAACTCTTAGAGATGCGTTAGGGGTTAACGGTCAGATATACTGGGATGGAAATCATGACTCCATCATACAGCAGTTAGTATATTATTACAATAATACATGGCATAGAACTATAAACATGAAACCAGTGGAAATGAAAAATGATATTTCAAAAGAATGGGAATATATTAGAAAGCAAATGGAAAGGTTAAATGATGTTAAACGTGAACAAATTAATTCGGGGCTCATGAATTTTAAACAAGGGGATAAAGTTTTGATTCATCTCGATTATGGAAAAACTAATAAATTAATGACAAAAAGAAGACGAAGATTTGACACAATAGCTGAATTTGTTAGATATATTAACGGCAATGCATTAGTTGAAGTTGGCGATAAATTAATAGAAATTCCGATTTATTTTATTACTCCATTATATTTAAATAATATTTAATTTTTTTTATTTCGTAAGAAATGAGTGACAACAAAGCAGCCAAGAGTCCTGATTCAATTAAGATTCAGAGTCCAGACGATGAATATAAAAAGAAACTAAACAGAATTAAATCAAAAATATGTTATTACAAAAAGAAGCCACAATGTGGTGGGGTTGAAAACGATAAAGAGAGGAAAGAAATAATCGAAAAATTAGAAACTTATCGTTCAATCCTTAAACTGAGTGAAGCAAAAATAAAAGAATTTAATAGAATAAATAAATTGATTGGAAGAGATGAATTTAATAAAGATGAATTTTTAAACTCTATCCAAATTTAATTTTTATTCCTCTTCGACAACATCTCTCTTTCCATCATTACTGCATAACCGCATTTTCTCAATTTTAGTGGTTTGTTATTTTTAACATGTTCTTGCATCATTTTTATCATTTCCTCCCTTGTTATGATTCGTGGTAAATTTTGAGCTTGTGGGGTATTCATTTATGATAAAAATAAAAATTTGTTATCACTTATTTTATCGTGAAGTGACTCAAAGAGTCCGGAGACAAAGTCTCATGTTTTTAGGTTATTCAATAATTAATTATTTTTGAATAACTGGGAAATAAATTTACGTCAAATATGCAATTTATAAAATCTTATGTCGACAGGCTACGTAGCACAGTGGTCTAAGGTGGTGTTATGGAGGGGTCAAGGTCTGTGGTTCGAACCGCGACAGCGCCGTATTTTCTTATTTTCTTTGTTTGTCTTGTTTGTCGTGAATAAAAAGTGTCATAAAAGTGCTCTATCTTCCACGGAAATAAATAAAAAATTTACTTTATTTCTTCTTTATTTCTTCTTTATTTCTTCTTTATTTCTTTGTTCCCGTGGAAGAAGGGTTTTGCTGTTTTTTCTCAGCCAAAATCAATGATTTTTTCATTTTTGGAATCCTTAGCGAATGAGGAATCTTTTCTCTCGTGGAAGCTTTGACCTAAAATATAATTTAGGTGAAGAGACCCAAAGGGTCAGAGCCGCAAAGCGGCTAGGTGAGATATCACCTGTTTTTTCACCTGTTTTTATGGTAGCACTGAAATAAAATTTTGTTATCAGTTATTTTATCATCATTTTATTAAGTTCATCTTTAGTTAATAATTTGAATGGATTCGCTAATGTTCCACCTTGAGTCACAACACTTGCCCCGGCTAATTGTGAAGAACCTGGGATAAGTACTCCATGAAATGATTTCATTGGTATCATTAATTTAGAAATAGTTGGCTTAATTAATTTGGTCATTTATGATAAAAATAAAATTGCATAATTTAAATTTTTTTTCTTTCTCATTTTCTCATTTTCTCATTTTTCATTCTGTTTTGGTTTCAGCAACTTTTCAAGTTGTTGTCTTGTCAGTAACTTTAATTTTAACTTTGGATCAAATATTGGGTTTCCATCTTTATCTCTTCCAATAACACCATATGGTAGAATCTTCATTTATACTAAAATAAAAATTTAAATTATGCTGTTTGCTCTTTTGGAGCTCAGGACTTTCATGATTTCTTCGTAAATTTCCTTCAGACTTCTTCGTAATGAGCGTAAATGACCCAAAAATAAGCCGCTAGCGGCAAGGGCAAAGCCCATGTTTAGGGTAGAAGGTTAGATCTAACCTCTTTTCTAACCTCTTTTCTAACCTCATGAATTTTCATGAATTTTCATGAATTTTCATGATTTCTTCGTAAATTTCCTTAAGATAGAATAAATAAAATTAGTTTTATTTTTATTTTTTTATTTTGTATGTAAGAACAGAAATGTCAACAATCAGCACAACAACAATCGGCACAACAACAATTCAAGCCACGAACGGTGGGACTCTGTCCACAATTACAGCACCAAACTCGTTAGTTATGAATCCTACGTCAATGTTAGTAGAGATGAAAAACTTCATTCCTTCTTCATATACTTTTGAAACAAAAATCCAGAAGATAAAGCAAGAACTGTTAACAAGTAATTTAGACTGTAGTGCGAAAGATGAAACAAATGAAGAATATCTTTATGAAATGCAGGACATTATTGACCATTTGCCTAAACTACCTGAAATCCAACAACAAAAACTAACTATTCCTGAATTCGACGAAATTGAAGTGAAACCAACTGACTCAGTAGAAATAAAGAAGTTCATACGAAAGGTAAATTATGAATTCCTTGGTTTTCATTGCAACCATAAAGTTATGAACAAAGATTGCGATATGGTATATAAGAACATCTCTGACATATATAAATCTGAAGAATTTAAGACATACGACAACCTTGTTTCATTAGCTGCAAAATGTGTATGGCAGATAAGAGATAAAGATAGAAGGGGTAAAATATGGAACGAACAAATAAAACCAACAGCTTTTGAGTTAAAGAAAACCATTGACGCCTTAGTTGTTTTAGCAGGTAAGGTTTCAGAATATAACGCAAAAATGAACCCACAATGTTCTAAATGTAAAGCAGCAATTAGGAAATATAACTACTCCGTCAAAGAGATAGAACGTATGCGAAACGACTATGCTGACTTAAAGAAAGAAGTAGAGAAACCAGCAGAAAATAAAATGAACATGTTAGAATTTCTGAACAAAAACTATCCAACAGTTGACGATTTCCTTCTATCTGATGTCAAGAAGAAGTATAAAGAAACTTTCGGTATCGTTAAAACATTTGATATCCTCAGCGAAGAAATAGAAGCTACGAAACTGTTTAAAGTCTCACGAATTCATAACGTTTACCATGTAAAACGCTTATAAAATAACTGGGGTAGAAAAGAGGTTAGAAAAGAGGTTAGAAAAGAGGTTAGATCTAACCTTCTACCCTAAATTATATTTTTGCCTTCCTCCTTTCGTAAATGTCATGTTGTCATCATTTTTAAAAGAAGTTAATTTAACCTGGTGACGTAGTGACACTGAAAAAAATTAATTACAGACATAAAATATATTTAGTTCATTCATTGAACTCTATACCATGCGAATACAGTCATAAATGGTGGCATGTAATCTTTACTTTGTCCCGTTGTTTGTGTATATCCTGAAACGCGATGTGTATGGTTTCCTTCTCCCTGAGTGTCATCCCAGTAACAATTTATAGCAAACTTAACGTTGTCTTTAACATCATATCCTTTACCTTTTGTCATTCCTGACCAATCCCAATATCTATGCTTATGCCAACCTGCTTGAGATGTACTTAAATCTATGTAGTGACTGTGTGCAGGTAAATTTTCACCTGAAATCGTTTTACTTCCCCCTGTTTCCTTTGAAGAGTTTGCACAATACAAAAACCTGTCAACTATTTGTTCCCATGCACCAACACCAAACATTACTTGAGGACCTCTTGCATCCATAGATGTATAAATAGAACCTACTGGGTTCATTAAATCAAACATATGAGATATTATAGGATTGTCTCTTTTGAACTTAAGATATAGTGTAACTATTTCAGGTTTCTTCTGGTTTGTGTCAGAATATTTTTTATAATATAATCTTATGTTTTCAGGGTAGGTAAAATCTTGACTATAATATTTGTTTCTGTCATCTTCATAATAGTATACTATTCTCGTTTTTTCTATTGCATTATATCTTTTATATCTATAATATTCTAAATATAATGTTTGCTTTTTTGGGTCTACACGTGCGTCAACACCATAGTCATAATAATATGGTGCTGGAGCTGGGTTAGGCAATGTCATATCTGTCATTTCATAAACTCTTAAATATTTCTTTTGTTCGTCTCCATATAAGTTTAAGTAGCAGTTGTTGTCTAATGGAACTTTAACTTGTGTACCATCGTTCTTTTTATAGCTTACATACATTTCATTGTTATTTTTCGGAATGAGTTTATACCGTATACCATTTTTTAAGGAGTGTACAAACTCCCATCTAAAATATTTATTTTCTTCATTGACAGAAAAGTCACCAACAATAGTTTCAATATTTTTTGTTCCTATCAAACTTTGGTATATTTCGTTAACATATTCCTTATCTGCTTTCTTATTTAACTCATCGTTAACATATTCCTTATCTGCCTTTTTCATTAACTCATCGTTAACATATGTTTTATCCGCTTTCTTATTTAACTCATCGTTAACATATTCCTTATCTGCCTTTTTCATTAACTCATCGTTAACATATGTTTTATCCGCTTTAAGGTCTAAACATCCTGAAACCCATCCTGTATCGGCTTTTGTTTTTAAAATCTTTGATGTCCATTCATGATACCATTCAACCATTTCTTTAATTTCATTATCTTTTTCATCAACATAAACCAAATTTGCTTTCTTCATTAATTCACTATCAACCATTTCTTTAATTTCATTATCTTTTTCATCAACATAAACCAAATTTGCTTTCTTCATTAATTCACTATCAACCCTTTCTTTAATTTCATTATCTTTTTCATCAACATAAACCAAATTTGCTTTCTTCATTATGTCATTTAGGAAACCTTCTATGAATTCCTCATTTAAATTAAATCTTCCAATCTTCAAAACTTTAGGAAATGCATTTAATGCGTAATATCTCTGTTCTTCTGGTGGAATTGATGTTATATCATCCGTTATACCTTTAATTTTAGAATTCATAAATAAAATTTCTTTTATATTTGATATCACTGCACCACCTTTGCAAACGAATTCGAAATGGTCATTTTTCAATACTATCTCCAAATCTCCATATTTCAACCTTTGCGTTTGTTCTGCCGTCTTTGAATTATATGCATATATGGCGTATGTAATGGTCTGCGCCTTAAGTTGTTGTAGTTGCTGTTGTTTAATCATTTATTACGATTTAAAAATAAATATTTAATCTGTTATCTCATCAGCTATTTTTTCTATTTGAAATTGCCATAATATTTCATTCATAAATTCTAAATCACAATCAAATAGGTCAGTTATTCTAAATTTAATATTTGATAAATCTTTTGAATGAAGAATAAATGAATTCCCGGATAATTGAAACGGATATGATAAAGAAAATGTGTTTAAGTTGATGGATAAAATGTTTTGTATTGATGGGTAAGAGTTAGGGTCTAATGTTTGATGTGAAAATCTCATTGGGGTATTAACTTTATCACATTTGATTAAAATGAAATTGGAACCAGTGTCAGAATACAAAACATCCCCAACATCTTTTTCAAAATTTAATATCCCAACAATGAACGAAGATGAGGAGTACAAAATTTAATTTTCAGCGGGAATTTAATAAGGTTATTTATTTCATCAAGTTCAAAAAGTTTATCAGGTTTTGATTTAAAATTTTCTTCATACCATACGATAAATGATTCATTTAAATAACTTAAAATCATGTTAATATCCCATTTCGCTATCACATTATTTATATACATATCATACGTTTTTAGGTCTACGACCCCGCCGCTATGCGGCTCATGGTCTTCTTTAATAAATGATATATAATCTGAAGGGTCTAAAAGAATGGGATTAAATTTACCACTCACAGAAACGAGAGTAACATTATAAATTCCGCTAACTGTTAAATTTAATTCACAGTTATTATTCGAAATAATATTGATAATTGACATTTTTTATTACGATTAAAAATATGGTAAAGCGTTATTTTCCAGTGATAAATAAAACTAGAATAAGATTACCTCAAGAATTCATAAATTCAACGAATAAGAAATTCATTCATGTTATAAATTTTAGTGTTTTCAGAAAATATGAGTCGATGTCATATTCATCATCAGGTTATATTTCACTTCATTCAAATTTAGTTCAATCAAACCCATATAATGACCATTTCATAAGATTTTCAGATGGTATTAAAAATGTAATTGATAGATTAAAATATGAACAGATTGACAATATCGAATTTTTGGAATTTTGGTTTAAATATCCCGATGGAAAAAAGATTGAAGTTAAAGATAAAGCAGATACTATAACAAAAACAATTACAATGACCGATCCAGATAGTGGGGAACAAAAAGAAATAAAACAAACGATAGAAACTGGTGAAAGGTCAATTATTATTGATTATGATTCAAAGGATTATTATTCGATAATGTTAATGCTTGAATATTAAATAGCCTTAACAAAGAATTTTTCAAGTGATATTTTATATTCATCAACTATTTTATTATAAATATCATTATATGTTAAATGAAGTTCAGTTGTTGTTCCGTTCTTTGATATCTTAATTGTGCTAATATCCTTTATAGGATTTATTTTTGCAACTGTTCCGCAGCATGAAACCTCATCATCTATGAAAAATTGAATCTTCACGTCTGAATCTTGAACATCACAAAGAATGGCAATAATGTGAATTAATGATTCATAAGGTAAAATAATTAAACCGGATTGGTCAATTAAATTTATTATTGAATCATAATTATCAGTTATTATATCACGGTAAATTTTCATTAATTCAGAATTAATGTCTATTTTATATGGCGCATTGCGACTGTAATCGTAGATTCCTGGGTTCTCGATGTTTGATGAAAGAGGTGGGGGGTATGTTGGATAAGTGGGAATTTCAACAGGTTCTTTACCAGGTTCAGATAAAATGATTGGGTCTCCATTCTCACGGTTTTCTTCATTCTCCTCATTCTTCGGTAAGTCACGAGTTAATAAATTTGGTTGAGTTGCTGACCTTGTTAATTCAGGACTAACATTAACTTTAACATTTTGAATAATTCGTGATTTATCATCATTTACATTATAACCAACCGTAATCTCTGCTTTTGCGTTAGTGTTCTTTTGACTAGTGAAACGTCTTCTCATTTATAATCGAATAAAAAAGAAAAATATATATTTAAAGTTTTATTTAGTTGTTACGGTAATATCCCAAGGTTCATCATTGTTTGCTTATACTTTCTTTGTAACTGCACCAATAATGTTATTGATATTGCTTTGAGTTTCTTCCAGTCTTATTTCATCATTTACAATATCTTTAATCATTTCATTACATGCATTCTTAAAACCATCTGATTTTTCTAATTTACGTCTATCACTTTCTTTAATTAAATCAAAGTTATAACCTTGTTGAGAATAAAGTGGTTTCTTTATCAATTCCTTGAACGCTTCTGCAAGTGAAGATGAAGAAATTCTTGCCACTTGAATTGGTTTAAATTCTGCTTTCATTGCTTCTTTCTGTTCATTGAACACTGGATCGAATAAAGCAACTTTAAAGAATTTCTTAGCTGGAATTTCAGATCTCAAATTTGCATATTGACCATCAAACTGATTAACATATCGTGGTAATCCATCCGGTCCCTCTTCAATAGCATTTAATTCTTCATTGAAATAAGAATATGGATTACGACGGTATGAATTAATTGGACCATTTTCACCTTCTCCAATGTATTGTTTAACAGCTTTTCCATTTTCATCAAATTGCATAGGATAACGTTCATTATATGCTTTGCGTTTAGGATAATCAGACATAGTTAATTTATAACCATTTATGACTTTAATATTTCCTTGACCATCAGTAACGAAAACTTCATTTATACCATCAGGTTTTCCATTTGGACCTGTAATGTCTGCTTCGTGTGCTTCCCAATTTGGACCATGACGTTTGGCATATGCTTGAGCTTCTGGTAATGTTAAAACGTTTCTCATTTGTTTAACATCTTTTTGAAGACCAGCAACAATATGAACTAATTCTTTCATTCCATCAGGAACTTTCATAGTTCTATTATATGCACCCTTTTTGTTTGTTCCTTGTTTTAATGGAACCTGTAGAAGATTTGCTATTTCTGTCATGTTTAATTATAAATAAAAAATAAAAATTAATTATAAAAAGTTATTCGAATTTAATGGAACCTTTATTTAAATCAACTATTATTTTTCCATGTTCACCTAATTGCTGATATTGTGTGTAAAGTTCATTAATGCTCATTGGTAAATTCACTTGATAAAGCATAACGTTCAACTGTTGACGACTAAACCCACTGAAAATGAAAAGGGTTGATAGATTTGATTTAATGTTTGTGCTTAATGCTTTAAAGTATTGAACAGCCATGAAGAATGAACACTGAATGTGTCGACATTGAGTTAATAATTGATTAAAATATGATTTCTCATTTGTTATTAGTTTTGATTTCACCGCATCATCTAGAAAAATGAGTGAATGCAAAAATTCTCTATCAAAATTTGAAATAGAAAGTGTTTCAAATAATTCATCCCGTTGTTTATCAATAATTTTATCCTCTAATCCTTGCTTCTTGATTGTATTATATAATTCTTTATACATTAAAAAGTTTTTTAAATAATCTTCTGCTTCTTCTTGTGATAAATAAATAATTGGAATTTTGATTAAATGCTTTAAAGATTCAAATGTATCATCTGAAAGTGAACCTGAACGGTTGATATAAATTAACACATGTGAATAGGGGGAAGTGTTAGCAATAATGATAATTTGTTTTAATATCGTTAATGTTTTACCTTTATTTTGTTTACCAATTGCTGCATTGATTGAATTTAAATAACATTCAGAATATGGAATTTTCATTAATTTTTCCTTAGATAGAGCATTTCTATTATCACTCAATGCTTCATTAATCATATCATCTACGTATGTATTATATACTCCTGTTAATTCTTCATAAGGGGTGGATGAATTTAAATCCATTTAATCAAAAATAAATTTATAATTTTAAACATTTCTATTCATCAATATTTCATCATATGAACTTCTATACTGTGGTGGTGTACCTGTTGGATGATATTTCAAACCTTCATCCGGTGTCCATGTCCAATATGTAGTCCTAGTAAACCAAACCTGAGGAGGATTTGTCACCTTTGAACAGTAAGTGTCATTTTCACCCTGAATTATTGGATAAGCTTTCACTTGTACTGTAACTTGTGAGTTGAAAGTTTCTAATCCATCAAAGAATATACCCGCTCCATCACGTTGAACTGGAATAGTGCATAAGAATGAAGTTTGGTCTTTCCATGTTCTAGTTAATGGCTTGCCATCATCATCATTCAATGGTCTAGTTAATGAGTCCTCGTATTCTTCCGTGCATTCATTCACTCCATCTAAATCAGAAGCTTGAAGCATACGTGTAAAGAATATGTCACCCACTGTGGTCATCGCTTGATCGGGAAGTTTCTGGAATCTATAGTGACCTGAAGACCTCGAAGCATTGGATTTTCTAAAACTGTTCTTTGCATTGCATTCTTCGGAAATGCTAACACAATATCTGTAACATTATGAAGAGCGTATGAGAAATCTGAGCTGATACCTTCAGGAGTGATGCAACCTCCATTTAGTGAACGAACGTCAATATGTTGAGCTGGAATCATGAATGGATCTTCCTTACTGAATAAACGTGGTATTGCTTTAATTGATTCTTCAATTAAACCATATCCTGGTGTAATGCATTTATCCTCTAAAACTTCCATCTTTGTGCATGAAATAATAACGTCTTCAACTGTTGCGTCAGCAGATGTAGTGGCTAAGCTTGTAATTAATTTGGCAGGAAGTCCGATTTGTTGGAATTTGCGATCATATTTATAAACATGATTCATAATCTTTTCATAATTTTCATCAGTTATCTTTTCATAAACATAATTTTGTAAATCAGCAACTCTTAATGGGTCAACCTGACAAAATACTAAAGTATCCCTGAAAACATAATATTTAAGAATGATATCACCAAATGATTTAGGATAATCATCGAACGCCTGAAATGCTAACAAATCATTTATCGGAATAATCATATCAAAAATGATATCAACTTCTTCATTTGCTTTCTTGAAAACTTCTGAAGGGTCAATATATTTACCACATACTGAGTTATCATATTTTTGAACAT